GGGGGGGGAGGAGAGGGAGTGGGGGGAATGGGAGGGTATAGGGAGGAGGGGAGGAAGTGGAAATTTTTATAAACAAACAAATAAATTAATTAATTAATTAAAAAAAAGAAAAGCAAGGAACAAGCATGCCTTCATGCCTTTTCATCACAGGGCTTTCATTGGTAAAAGTGAGTGTGAAGAGAATCTCTCTCTCCCTTGTGAGTACACTGTTCTTCTCGGGTTAAGCACCAACCATTACAACCTCACTTCGCTTTAGTTCCTTGTCTAAAGGCTCCTTCTTCGTACAGGCCCATTGAGCGTTAGAATTTCAGCATATGAATGCTCAGGAACACAGCTCAGTTGATAGATTCATTTTTGGTAAGAAGTTTTTCAAGTTCACATATGAAGCCTCCTCAGATCTGCTGCGTTATGTAACTCTGCTCCTCAAATGATGGTGGGCGGTGCATATAAATGGTACTGAGAGTGTCGGAAACAATACTGATAGGAAACTGTAAAGACACAAGAAATTTGTAAGTCTGGAGATGGGAGAACTCAGTGCTAGAGGAACAAGCAACCATAAGGAGCTGTTAGTTCAGGGAATTATTTAACCTGGAGATGAGTCAGATACATACAATCCCAGAACTGTACTGATAACTTCTACCAGGGTATGACTGAAGCAGCAAAGTGGGTGCAAGTGGTCTGTCTGCATGCTGTGCCCCCATAAAATTCATGCCAAAATTCTAGTCCCCTAAACTGATCAAATAGTGAGAATCCTGAAGAACCTTCAGGAGTAGAACTATTTTGCTCATAAAATAGACCTGAAGTTTTACTCTGTTCCCTACCATCTCAGGACACAGAAGATATAGTTTATGAGCTAGGAAACTGGTCCTCACCGGATGCTAAGCCCCTTCTACCTTAATTTTGGATCTCCCGGCCTCCAGAGCTATATAAATAAGCACAAGTTGTTTACAAAATATTGAGTCTATGATATTATGGTAGCATTCTACATGGGCTACAATGCCATGTAAAGTTAGAATCCTGTATCCCTGTGTCTCACAATAGAGTGCTGGTACTAGTTCCTCGCAATTCACTTATGCCAGGTAAAAGCATCAGGGAGGCATAATTTCTTCCCAGAATTGTTAAAAAAAAAAAAAAGGTACCAGTGGTGCAAGACATTAAAGAAAACCACCCTACACGCGGCACTAAGAAGCCACATAACACAAAAGAGAGAGGGACCTCGTTGCAGCAACTACAAATGGGAAAAAAGACCAAAGACAATTACCTGATGGCTAACTTTGTTTTAACAACAACATGGGTGGAAAGATAAAGGACGTTTTCTTCAGAGTCCTTGAGGAAATAACTCTCCTAAATTTCCATGTTTAGGTAAAACGCTGTAATGCTGCCTCTCTCCTGAGAGAGCCATTCGTACTCAAACATGAGAGGCTTCTGCATAGTCAACACGTCAGGAATAATGAGAAGTGGAGAAGGATGCCAGCGTGAGAGAGACATAACTAAAGAGTTGACGAAAAGCCCATGAATGGCTCGCCAGAGATGCCAGGTTCTCTGCTGGACAACTTGGAGTGTCCTTATCAGAAGATTGCAAAGAGCTGGGCCTGGAGGAACAAGAGGTTGGTAGAAAGCTTATCGCTCACGATAAGAAACAGCAGTCTGCCCGTGCCCTCCCCAAAACTCCCACATTCACCTTTATGAGTGCTTGGATGTCTGCCACTCTGAAGGCTTCCACAGCCAGCCAGAGGGGATGGCAAATGGAGCCTAGCCAAGAAGAGAGACATGGTGCTTTCTCTTCATCTGCTCTTGTCCCCAGCAGAGCTATGTCTTTGAGAAATGAAAGAGAAAGAGAATGGATGTAGAAAGACTGAACAAGCTCTTCCCCAGTACACCGGATAGTGATGGGCAAAGAAAAACCTTTGATTCCAATGATCTTACAGTTTCCTTGCTGAAAACACACAGAAGGTAAAAGACTCACTTTCAGGTATTGATGAACAGGCAGGGGAGGCTCCCTCAGCCTATGGCTCAACTGCTGAAATTGTTCTTTCAGCAAAATACTTCAGTTCTCTTGAGGCACATGCATTTAGAATAAGAATATGGGAGTAGACTGGATGAGATCTACCTACTGCAAATCAGGTTCCTGAAAACAGCTTGGGTAGCCTCATCAGTACCCACAGAAAGCTGGACTGACAAGGGGTGTCTTTGAGCCAAACAAGAAAAGAACAACCCCCTTAAAATCGTGTGGATAAAATCCCGAACGCTTATCACCGTGAAAACCTAGCAGCAGCAGGGGCCAGTCAGATGTGTGTTCCTGTCTACTTGGGAGATCCAGAAATGCTGAGTTCTTTAGAAATCTCCCTTCTGGTAATGGTGAGACCACTGGGTACAGCATGTCACACACTCATTGCTTCCCACCTCTTCAGCCCTGACTGTTGTGACTTGGTGGGTTCTAGACCATTTGGGGCCTGCTGGGCTTGTGCTTTTTTTTTCCCCCTTTGGGACCTGGAGTCCTTGGGGTTTACGCTGTGTGCCTTGAACTCCAGCAGCTGTGTTCTTTCCGTCTTCTTTCTATGCAGTTTCTGATGCAGAGATTTCATTCTCACATGTGTTTCTGCTCACATCCTGCGTGTTTGCCGCTTAGCCTGTGATCTCTCTAGCCCTTTGGAAACTTGAACTATACCTGTCTCTGGAAGGTGCTCGAATGGCTGACTACTGGCCTGCCAAGACTCTGGACTCTTTTGTACATTTTTAGCTTTCCAAGTTCCAAATTCTAGATGCCTTTTCATGCGTTGCTGCCATTAATCGCAGTGTGTTTTTATTCCTAAAAGCCATGGATTATTATGCAGAAATCCAAGTGCCGAGGTTTAGAGAGCTCCTTTTGAGTTGCTAATTAGGTAGCCCCCCCACAAAACAGTACAAACTATTGCAACCCCGCTTGGTTTTCCATCAGAAATAATTGATAAGACTGTATGACTTTGTTGCAAAATACAGTGAAACCAAGCTGGAAGTGAACTACAAGTTCCCTTCTTGGTGGTTGTTTTCCGTAGTGCTAGATGGTGCTAAGCAAACTGTTAGAGGAGAAAAGGTGACCCCTATCTTACCCAGTGTGAACCCTATGAACTATAACAACCTGCCAGAGAAAAGGAACTCTCTGGTGCAATACTGGTACAGCTTCTTCGGGGGTAACCAACCACTCTCTGCTTGGATTTGACACTCTCTCTGCATAAGGGAATTCATGCTTGACACTACAGATTCATTTCTGAAGTGGTCACTGGGGTATGGCTGTGACAGACCTGACTATGTTGTTTTGGGGAGAATTATGGAAGGACTTTGGAATTTTGGACTAGAGAATTCATTGAGTGTTGAGCAATTAGTGGGCTATTTTGTAGGAGCTTGGAAGATGGGAGCATTGAGGGCAATACAGAAGATGAAAGCCTGGCTTCTGAAGTTTCAGAGGGAGGTTTAAAGACTGTGTCAGAGCTATCTGTTACTTTGAATTAATATTCTGTGGCTCTGCTTAGTTGCGGCTGAAGAATCAGTTGTAATCTACAAGATATCACAACTACTAATGTAAAATCTTTGCTTTGCTGAGATACTCGATGCTGGTTGGCTAGAGCTGTGAAATTAATAGTGATTAAGAAGAGACCATTGTTGTTGAGGTGAAATCTTCAGGAAAGTGTTTCCTGAGACTATGTAGGAGCTGTGTTCCACAGACAGCCAAGATTATACTTCAAGCTGGCACCTGAACTTGGTAGTGTAAGAGTGACCCAGGTGGTACTGGTTTTGAAGGTCATGGAGAACAGCTCAGGCTTGGCACTGTGAGGGGCCAAGAGAGGACCATTGTTGAAGATGCAGCCTCAGTGGCCGTTGAAGGCACAGGATTGAAGGGATCATAGAGAAAATGAAAGAACCTATGAGAGGCTAGTGGTGAAAGTGTGGCCCAGTTTCAACAGAGGTCCCCAGCATGTAGAAGATGCTAGTTCCATAGGATGGCCACCAAGAACAGTAGCAGTGGTGGAGTGGAGCCAGCCAGGGCCTAGAAGACAGACTGTGTGCACTGCAGAGGCTGGAGCCGAAGAAGTGACCCGAGCCTCTTGAAGGAACCCAGGAGATGGTGAGTAAATTCCAGGTGTTAGACACTGAGTTATTTACACTTTTGGAGTTTGGTTTTGTTTTGCTTTGATCGTGACTTTGCCCTGGTTCTTCCCTCTTGAAGTAAGAAAGTATTTCATGTATTTTTGATTTTACAGGACCCCACAGTTGAGAGACTTTGAATTTTAAAACACTTTGGATTTAAAAAAAGATTGGCTATTTTAAAGAGACTGAACTTTCAGTGTGTTTGAATTTGTAAAGACTGTGAGACTTTAAAAAGTTATTTATATTTTTAATGTAGACTCTTGGGAATGAATGAGAAAGAAAGGACTGTGGCTTAATGGTGATGTGTTTGGTGTCAAGTTGATGGGGATCAGTTGTACTGAATAGTTTTTTGTCAACTTGACACAAGCTAAAACCATCTGGGAGGAGGGAACCTCAATGAAGAAAATGCCTCCATAAGAAGGGGCTGTAGGCAGGGCCCTAAGGCATTTTCTTAATTGGTGATTGATGGAAGAGGTTCAGCCTATTGTGGGTGGTGCCATTCCTGGGCTGGTGGTCCTGGGCTCTAGAAGAAAGCAGGTTAAATAAGCCATGAGGAGCAAGTCAGTAAGCAGTAAGCTCCTCCACGGCTTCTGCATCAACTCCTGCCTCTAGATTCCTGGAGCTCCTGTCCTGACTTCCTTCAATGATGGACTGTGTTGTGGAAGTGTAAGTCAAATAAACCTTTTCCTCCCCAACTTTCTTTTGGTCATAGCATTTCATCACAACAATATTATATGTGTGTGTGTGTGTGTGTGTGTGTATGTGTGTGTGTGTGTGTATGTAATACAGTGCGTATATATGTAACTTTTTTCTTAGTATTTTCCAAATTAGACACTTAGCATTAGATTTTTATTAGTAAAACATCCAAAAAGTCAGTTATGATGCCACATGCCTATAATCCCAACACACGGGAAATGGAGACAGGACAATCAAAAGTTCAAGACTGTCCTTGGCTATACAGTGAGTTCAGGACCTGTCTCAAAAAATAGATGTTGATAGTTACCTGCATGTATTTATATCTTTTGCTAGTTCAAATAATATAAATACATGACATGTGAAAGATTTTTCTTTTTCTTTCTTTCTTTCTTTTTTCTTTCTTTCTTCTCTGTGTAACAACTATAGCTGTTGTGGAACTAGCTCTGGAGACCAGGCTGGCCTCCAATTCACAGAGATCTGCCTGCCTTGGCCTCCCAAGTGCTGGGATTAAAGGCATGCGCCACCACAGCCTGTCAAGAGAAAGATTTCTATAGTCATCTGTAGCATGAGGGCCGGCCTGTTGGGGTATCTGTCCCCGCCCGGTACCCCACAACCGGCAAGTCCCCAAGAAAATCACAGACGGGACTCCATAAGATTATAAACTGATTGGCCCATTAGGTCAGGCTACTTATTAGTTCTTATAACTTATGTTACCCCATTATCCTTATCTACGTTAGCCACACGGCTCAGTACCTTTCTCAGCTGGGCAGCTTACATCTTTCCTCTCCAGTGGTCTGGGGAGAACTGGCAGAAGAACCTTCCTGCTTCCCAGAATTCTCCTGTTCTCATTGCATCACCTCTACGTCCTGTCTGGTTTTCCCACCTATACTGTCTGCCTGGCCAATCAGCGTTTTATTAAAATACGATTGACAGAATACAGGCAATTCTCCCGCACCAGTCATCTCCTGCCTAACCAGAGTGGGAAGCTGTTATAATTAGTGTAGAGTAGTTAATATGCTGAAATAAGATGTAGCATAGGGTCTGGACTTAAGCACTGCACACTTCTAGAAGCACTGGTAATTGACAAAATCATAAGAGAGAATTTTGAAGAAATATATGGCTTGTATGACAGTGTGATGTATCCTGTATAAACTTCTGCTAGGGCAGGTTCAATGAGCAGAAATATTAAACTTGACTTTAAGGAAGATTCAAGATGGCATCTAGAAAGAGCCTAAGGTTAGGTACTAGGCAACGTGGACTCGAACCCCAGTTCTAAAATTTACTACCACACAATCTTGTTCAACCAGATCCTTTTCATCTTTGGTTTTCCTCTGTGTAAAATGACAACTTTCTAGGGTTTTTTTTTTTTCATTGCAGGAATTCAATGGCTAGGTCTTTGTTGTTGTTGTTGTTGTTTTTATTGTTTGAGACAGGGTTTCTTTGTGTAGCCCTGGCTGTCCCGGAACTTGCTTTGTAGATCAAGATTGACTGGAACTCACAGAGATCCTCCTGCCTCTGCTTTCTGGGTGATGGCATTAAAGGTTCAAGCCAATACACCCGACCAATGACTAGGTCTTTAACCACTGTCCTACATAATCTACCATATTTTAGAGTAAGTCTTAAAACTCACTAGACCAGTGACTTTCAACTTTTCTAATACTGCAACACTTTATACAGTTCTTCATGTTTTAGTGGTCTCCAACTATAAAATTATTTTCATTGCTACTTCATAACTATAATTTTGTTGCTGTTATGATTTGTAATTTAAATAGTTTGCCAAGAGGGTTACGACCCACGTTAAGAACCACTGTGTCTAGTATCTATAAAAGTGATATAATTAGTGGAAAATGAATGAAATGTAGTAAGAATTTATAGAACTTCAAAGGAAGTTTTTAAACTTTATAAACCATGTTTATCATTGTAAGGGAGATTTTGGAAGTTTTAGGAATTTGAAATAGTTAACTCATTGAGATTAGGTTCTATTTATATGACATAATTAGTTAATCTCAGATTATTTTTTGATCAGATAAGAAATTCCCTTCTATTTTAGAAGATCATTACAATTCTTGAAAAAGGTCAGCTATGTAACTACATAGGCATGAGTAAAAATTAGCAAAATGTCTCTTAGTAGTTATTAAATATGAGAGAATATAGTCTCTCCTGAAAAATAAAGAAAAAACATTTGTATAGGTGACTTTTTGTTGCTACGTTAAAACACCAAGACCAAACGCAGGTTATGGTAGAAAGAATTTGTTTGGGCTTAGGGCTCCAGTGGGCTGAGAGTCCATCATGATGGGGAGATGTGGTGGCAGGAGTAGGATTTGGGGAGAGCATGTCTTAACTGTAAACATAAAGCAGAGAATGTGAACAGGAAGTGGGGTGGACTATCAACTCTCAAAGCCTGTGTCCAGCAATGGACTTCCTCCAGCAAGGTTGAACCACCTCCCCAAACGGTCCACCAGCTGGGAACCAAGTGTTTATACGCCAGAGCCTATGGAGGGCATTGTTAATTCAAACCGCCACACCATTCTTCAAGAAAGCTTAAGATGACCGCTGAATTCAGAACCAGAGGCCAAACAGCGAGCACCCAGCTATCTCAACAAGTCATGTTATCCTTATACTGCATCCCAGCACTGCAGCTGGGAGCTAATTAAATAGCCCAGATTGCCGGGCTGAACTTTAGTACTGCATTTACGGAACGACTTCAGAGGACATGCTATTAAAGTCTGGGGTTTATCAGAAGAAGGCAGCATTTTTTAAAAGCAGCCCTTAAAATTAACATACTGGATAAGCTGCTTATTATAGACACAGTCTATGAGATCCTTCATATAGATCCAGAAGTTAAGCAGTGAATTTCTAAGCCAACTAATGAGACTGTTGCACTGAGACTGAAATCTAAAAATAGCGTTTTAGATAACCCAAGAGAATTTTGAGAAGCAAATTTATACTCTATATGGTCATTTCTAAAATGCTAAAAGCCACATTGATAGCCACTAATATGCTGGAATCTCTCTGGGCTGAAGTGAGGAATAATTCTGTACTTAATTAACTTAGAAATATACCAGTGATAATGGGAATGTGTGAGAAAAGAATTTTTTAAATGAATGGGAATTAAACTTCTACCTTTAATTAGTCTTAATAGTTAGGCTTTAAAATTTGTATCCAAATATCTGAACAATAAATAAACTTTTACTTCATCAGGCAGTGCTGACAGCTGTCACTATTTAAGTTGTACACACTAAGTGGAGAAACTAGATCTGGAAGCCCTTAGCGACTGGACTCTTTGGAGACCATAGAAGATGGCTGCTATTTCAGGCAGCTGATGCAGTGGATACTCGAGAAGACAGAGGAAGTTGGTGAGACCTCTACAGTTCTACTCATTTATCTCTAAAATGGGAGAAGCACCACTGAACTTACATTTCTTTCGGTGTTATAATGAAGTAAGAGGGTAGGTTTTGAACAGTTCCGTATCCCTGAAGCCTGTTACAGGCAAAAGCCATTGTGTCCAACAAGACCCTTCATCTAGACAAGGAAGCTATGTGACCTGGGGTGGCATGCACTCCTATGTGCATGTTTCACGGATGCAAAGGAATCAGAGCTGAGCTGTGGGGGTAATGTCTATGTCCTTAAAAGTGGTCTTCTTACTGAGTTATGGAGCAGTGAAGTCTACAGATAAGTGTAGGATGCATTTGCAGGATTGCAATGGTGTATGAACTAGAGGGGGTAGACAATCTGATAGTAAACTTTAACAAAGGAACCTCCGCAGGCTTACCAATTGTTTAAAATTGTGCGTGCATGTGTGTGTGTGTGTATACACTAGAAAATCTCATTTTCTTTTTATATGGAAAGTCAAGTCCTTCTTCAGTGTAGGAGAATGCCACACTGTCTTCAATGACTATCTCTCTCTAAAGGCTCCAAACACCATCTTGAATAATTTGAAGTAGGCATTAGAGTGTTTCATCAAGACTGGTCTTTTAAAACTCATGACATAAAAGTAAAGTGAGTATGTGTTATCATAGCAGATTTTTCTTCCAGAAGGTTTTACAGTTTGAAACAAAACATGGAGCTTTACAGATATCCTCTCTAGCCGATCTAAGCCAGACCCTCCATTGGTAAGATTCCACAGTGCACCCTTGCCTTTGTCCACCAGCCACGGCTGCAGCTGGTTGAGCATTGGTTGTCTTCTCATACGCAGGGTACAAAGCTTGGAAGAAAACCCTAAGGCAAAAAAAATGATATGACTTGATAAAACATATCAGGAAGGAAATGGATTTTTGAGTGTGAAATGGTTGAGAAAATGAAGTCTACTACTGCTGGCAGGAAACAAGCTGGGTAGAATTTAGATGGTATGCTAAGGACAGAAAGCTTGGTGGCTTTGGAGGAAATCTAGTCAAAGGGTCTTTAAGTCACCAAGGCAAAG